TACTTATTTTCTTTCACTCCTGTAATGTATGCACTGTACAGGCGAAGTGTTCTTCTTTTCTCTTGGTAACTCACCGATATTGCTTGTGACCCAACCTGACATGGTGAGAGAGATAACCACCTGCACATCCTGGGACTTGGGGAAGCCTTCATATCAAGCCAAAGAGCTCGGTTCTTTGCTTGGCCAGGGCATTCTAACCTCCATATGGGGCTTATTGGGCTCATCAAAGGAAAATAATCGCGCCAGAACTATACATGGAGAAGGTTAAGGTATAATACACAATGTGATCCCGACTATCCATATATAATAAAGTATAATATAATTTAAATTTCAAAAGAAAATAAAATAACTTTTGATAGTCGTAGTTGAATTTCTTTAAATTTTATTTTAAAATTAATTGATGGCTAATATTTACACCATAAATTTAATAATAAAAATAGGCTTATAAGGGTATGTTTGAAGTAATTTTTTAAAAGCGTTTATAAGATTTATTTCTCATAAATATTTTTTTATTTTTTATTTTTTAAAAAGATAGTGTTTGAAGTCGTCCCACTACCACTCCCATCGCCACCCTCACTACCACAGCCACTGCCACCACCACTATCGCCGCCCTACCACACCCACCTCCCCATCATCACCACCACCACCACCACCACTACCACTACCACCATTGCCCCAACACGACTGCCACTATCTCACCATCACCCCTACCACTCTCACCACTTCCATGACCATCACAACTATCATCACAACCGTAACTATCGTTGTCTACCCATCATTGTCGTCGTCACCACCACCGTTGTCGTTGCCACTGCTGCCACCGCCACAAGCACCACCATTGCACCTACCACCAATTGCTACCACTATCGTCAACTGCCACTATCCACCACCATTGTTATCTTATTCTCATATTTATTACCATTACCATCATCATCATCATCATCATCCCACTACTATCGTCACCAACCGTCAACACCTACCACCATCATTGTTGCCATCGTCACCCACTACCATAATCCACCACCACCCCGTCGTCACCCACTATCGCCACTAGTCATTGTCACCCAACTCTACCACACCTACCACCACTCGTCATCGCCCACCACTATAGCCACCCACTATCACTCACCCCACCATGATTACCACCACCGCTTCCGCCATTTGCCACCACCCATCACACGGTCGTCTAAAAGTACCCATTTTCACCGCCCACCATTATTGTTGTCGCTCCACCACCACCACTGCCATTGCCAACTACCATCACCGTCGTCCACCCACACCAACACCCACTATCGTCGTCACCTACGACTGCCACTACCACTACTGTCAGCCAAAACCTACCACCACCACCACCATTAACATTATCACCCACGACTGCTATCACTACCACAGTCATTGCCACCCACCACAACCATCACTATCACCACTACTATCCACCACCACTACTACCGCTTATCTCCATTACAATCAGTGCTTAAATTTTTTTCTCTTTCTATGTTTGTGATTTAATTTTTGGTGTAAATACAAATATTTATTATTGACTATTTTTTTATGACTTCGTGCCTTTATGCACGGGAATTACTAATAATTATATATTGCAGGAAACCAATATTGGGTTCCAACTTCCAAGCATCCAGCTTTATTATGCAAAATATTAACTTCAAGTATCATGTGCACCACTTGTAGGGAATGACAAACATAATAACAGACTCTGCGATTACGTTGATAAACTCATGGAATCGTATAATTGAAGTTGAGGGTGGAATCGCGGACATAAAAATCGACCAACACATGAGAAGCTTTTCCGGAGATGTGATTTCGAGAGCTTGTTTTGGAAGTAATTACTCTAAAGGAGAGGAGATTTTTCGTAGGATCAAAGCTCTCGAAGAAGCTGAATCTAAGAAAGTTTTGGCTACTGGTATTCCCGGCATGAGGTACCCTTTTCCTACAAGTTCAAATATAATGATGACTTAATTATGTCAATCACACATAAGATAGACAACAAATATCTCTAGATTCTTTCAAGGTCATACATACTCTACCGAGTGATGTGAGATATGGGTCACCAGGGAACTATACTAATTATTTCGCTGCAGATATCTTCCAACTAAGAGAAATAAAGAAGCATGGGCATTGGAGAAGGAAATTCATACACTGGTGTTAAAGGTAGTGAAGGAGAGGAATGAAGCTGGTTATGAGAGAGACTTATTGCAAATGATTCTTGAAGGTGCCAAAAATAGTGATCTGAGCAAAGACGCGCTTGACCGATTCATTGTTGATAATTGCAAAAACATCTATTTGGCTGGGTATGCGACCACTGCAGTTTCAGCCACGTGGTTGCTTATGCTATTGGCTTCGAACCCAGAGTGGCAAGATCGCATTCGTGCCGAGGTGATTGAAGTTTGTAGGGGCCAAATTCCAAATAATGATATGATTCGTAAGATGAAACAGGTATTCTGAGTACCGTATTTATCAGCATCAGACTTACATATATTATAGGAAAAATGGACAATTATATGCAAAACAGAATGCTAACTAAGAATGTTACTAGAGGTATCAATTAAGTTCTGTCATGTTTGGATTTAGGTTATAATATTTCGAGTTTGTATCGAGTATTAGTAAAGTATAAATTAGCCTATTGAATCATTTATGTCAGATATCAACTAACCCACCCTATTTATTGATGGTGTCGTGTTTGTGTCGACATGCACAATCCGTGAATCAATTTAAGATCAAGACTACTTTTTGTATTATCAATATTTGACACAGAGCTAATCTGTTTGTTATGTTTATAAACGGGTCATATGACATTTTTGAACTCCTATCAACTTTGAAACCCCAAATTCCCTAATTTCATATCGGGTTTATGACGGAGTTAATAAGGACAAATGTCATGCCCAAGTTTTTTCACACATTGTGATCACTGGTTTCCCTAGAAAAAATGCACATGTATAAGTCCTTCTTACTAACTGTATATTTTGAATTGATTTGCAGCTAGCAATGGCGATTAATGAGTCAATGCGCCTTTATCCTCCTAACACTGCGGTGTCAAGGGAGACCTTGAAGGACATGAAATTCGGGGGTATTCATGTACCCAAGGGTGTGATTATTTGGACTTTGCTGACAGCACTGCACACCGACCCTGAAAATTGGGGTCCTGATTCTTACAAGTTTAATCCAGAGAGGTTTGCAAATGGGATCACAGGTGCATGCAAGCTTCCACACTTATACATGCCATTTGGTGTCGGACCAAGGGTGTGTCTTGGACAGTACCTGGCTTTACTTGAGCTAAAGATAGTGACCTCTCTCATTTTGTCCAACTTTTCTTTCTCTCTCTCTCCAACATATGTTCACTCACCAACTCTACATTTGGTCATAGAGCCTGGACAGGGAGTGAACCTTTTGGTGAAGAGGCTGTGATCTTTGCCTTGCGTGCAATATGTCAACATTAGTGCAACTTACTGTGTTTTCCCTACTTAGGAGTTGCTGAATAAGTTTTAGGCTTACTGAGTCTAAGTTTGTTATTTGTTTGAACTAGTCTTCAGGAGAGTTTCTCTCTTCCAGATCTTTAGGCATGTTGGTGTTTCTTTGGCATAATATTCTCAACACACTCTGTTTTGTTGAGCAAGTTTAGGAACTGTTTTCTATAAATTAAATTGTGTATTGGCTGGTTATACATACCAGTTTTCTTCTTGAGTAATAAAATATCGGCAACTTCTCTTTTTTTTGTCTTCTGTTTTGTTTTGTTACACAATACTTTTTTCCATGATAAATAAAGGGACCATGCTGAATGATTTGCAAAGTAAGATATATATATATATATGTGCTGGTTTCCATGTTTGCATTAAAGAGATTTGGTTCCAGTTACACAAGGAAAGTTGTCCATTTAATATACTTGCAAACAAATATTATAGGTTACGTGTGGGTTGACTCGCACAAGTCTAGTTTGACATACATTTGATCTAGCATAATTCTCTAAGCAATCCATCCTCCTCTTCTTCTAAACAGTAGGCACATTATTGTATGAAAATATGGAAAACCCCTCACATTGAGTTTAACATAACTCAAAACTTTAACCTAAATCTTTAATTCAAGTACTTTTCATGTCTTACAACTTCCTGAGCTTCATTGTGCCTAAGTGGAGTCCCATCAATTACTTTGTATTCACCGACTAACATAGGTATTGCTTAAATTTGAGAGTGATCAAGAAAACTTAAACTAAAGAATTTATCGTACATCTCAAAGTAATCCCACACCAGTGGACTACCCGTATTGTATATGCATGTTGAAAAATGAAAATTACAGTTCAAACACCAAAGATTGTGAAGTTTGCGAGCACGACGGCTCCTCTGCTGTTCCATAAAAACGGCACAGTTTGCTGTTAGTTCGAAATACCACCGTTTCAATAAGTTTTTTGGGTAAAAAATTTTCACTAAAAATAAAAAGGTGAAATTCTCTCTCTTCTTCACAAAACTAACACTCTCAGTCTCTCCCAGTTACAGCTCCAAATTATTGTTCCATGGTTTGCCTTCTTCATTGTTCACACCTCAAAACCGTCCCCTACCTACTCTCTCTCTCTAAAGCCCCCCCCCCCTCTCTCTCTCAAACCTCTATCGAAAGCTTCTGGATTCTACTCTGTTTGTGTTTGCAGGAGCAAGAGATTCAGAAGAAGCAGCGATGACGAAGACAAGACCGGCTTCTTCGTCCTCAATGCACCACCTGATCTTGTTGCCTATGAATGAGCACTGTTAACGTTAATGGCAGCTCTCAACTGTAACAATTTCTAGGAAAATCATCAAATGGGTCCATTTAAGGAGTATGACTCAACTCCCTCCGAACTTCAAGACCTTATGTGGACATTGACTCGGGCATCGGCAAGACTCAGTAAAATTGCTTGGAAGTTTTTCTTGATTTGGCATAGGGGTGTTTATCCTATCCTATGGATGAGAAATATAGTCTTTCGTCTTTTAACCCAATGCTTTGCGAAATTTTTTTTTCTTGGCCTATCCTACCCGATCAAGTGTGGTATTACCACAGGACTTCTGACCAAATTAATTAGATAGGAAATCGGGTGAACAATTTTGTAGTTATTTTTAGATCATTTTAACAATTCAATAAAATAACATGCACCAATTTAACAACACAATAAACCAATAACACTAAAAATTAAAACAATTACAATAAAACACAAGAAAGCATAAACATCAATTCATCATAATTGTTGCACAAATACAATAACAATTATTTTAAATTTAAACCATATGATTAGAGAATTAGAATTTTTAGTTTAATATAAATAAATAATTAATTAATGCGGGTAGGGTAGGAACACGAAAATTAATGGCTATTCTGCATTCCTACCCGATTTAATCGAAAGACCAAAAACTCTTCCGCATTCTTACCCGATTTTTTCGACTAACCGTTCAATAGGGTTGGATAGGGTAGGAAATTATAGCTAATCGAAAATTTGAACACCCTTAATTTGGCCCTCCGGCGGCAACATAAGCAATTTTATTCTACCCATCAAAGTTGATTTGAGCATCACCTAGACAAAGCAATTCTCTCAATGGATTGCGATTCAAGAAGCAGAGCAAGCCATTGCTAAAATTTTTGTGAGTTACGGTGTTTCTACCAATTGATTCAATTTTAGGGCAAAGAGTTAAGAGTAAGGGATGGAAAGCAATTCTCACAATGAATTGCGATTCAAGACATTTGTGTTTCCAAATGAATGTCCGTGCTCGATTTCTATGAAAATCCATACTTGTTGCTACCAAGAAGAGTAGACCTTGGCTGCTTGGAAATAGTCAAGATGCTTCTGTGTAGATTAGGGGTTTTGCAAGGGATGCCACTCAAAGAAGATGAGAAACTAAGTGCAAGTGAGAAACGAAGAGAAGTTGAAGAATAGAAAGAAGTAAATTGTTTTTCTGTCTAATGTTTGGAGGTCTGTTTTGTGGAATCACTGTATAAACCCATTAAAACAACGTCTTTTGGTGGGTCTGTTTTGAGAAGAACATTTTATTGTGTAAACTTAATAAAATGGCACCGTCCTTGACTAACAGCAGAGGAGCTGCACCCGAAGTTTGCATAGACCCACCATATTTTAAGTGGATGCAAAAATGTTTAGCTTTAGCTTCAATGTGCCTAAGTGGTGTCCCATCAATTACTTTGTATTTCTTTAGTTTCGACTTAAGTGATGATCCTGTCTTTTTCACATCCGAGAAGATTGTGGACAATTTATAAAATAAGTAGTTCTGGTGTCACTTTAGCAAGCATAAGCTTTTGTGGAAAAAAGATAAGATTCAACACTCCTATTCTACCATATTTAGAATTAAAAAGTTGGTGTATGACTATTTGACAATTTTTAAAATAAAGTTTTTATGAGTGAACAATAATATTATTGCATTTTTGTTTTACTATAAACAAAATCAAATATATGTTTGATAACTATACTTTAAATAACATATATAATAAAATTTGGAAAAAAATTACCCAATTTAAACATGCACAATACTGCAATGATTCAATAACTGGTCGATATAGGCTCACCTTGTTTTTGTGATTATTCAAACATGTACAATACTTGTGGACACTCTTGTCACTTTTGAGATATAAAATCGCATATTATTAGAGACAAAAACTTGGGTTGCTTAAGTGAAAAAAAAACCCGTATAATAGCAACTTTGAATTCCAAAATCTTCCACTTAATCTCCATCAAGTTGAAGATTGTATACATGTCATCTCTTGTTTTATTTTATGGGTCTTTTGTCAATTCCCATCTCAATCACTTACTAGGAAAAATACTTTCAATAAAACACAATATTTATTATTGATTCAATTTTTTTTAATGAATGATTTATACTTTTAATTTAATGATTGTCTTTTAATAAAATTTTTGCTCTGTATAATTTTTCGATTCATTGTGCCATGTATATCGAATGCTTGAAATTCTCTGCAAGTCAAATAACTGATTATTTCATACTTGAATTAATTAATTAGAATTTATCATAAGATAGTTGATTTATTATTTGCAATAAAATAAATTTTATCTATTAAAAATCTTAATTTATCATAAACTTCGGGCACGATGAATACTTGTGATCTACAAGTAAATTTTTATATTTATTCAAATAATTCATTAATTATACTTTTTGATGTTTTCATATTATCACCGCTAAATATTTCGATTGGGATCACTCCTCAACTGATTCTCAATTGAGTTCGAAAAGTTGATCATTAATAATTACTGTGTGAATTTGAAAGGGTATCTCCGATGTTTTACTATTTCAATTATTGTTATAACCAACCCACATTTCTTCTATTAGATAAATTATTACTCAAATAAAGTTCAAAACAGTTTCCTTTTATTTGTTTTGTGTCTCTTGTTTTCACAATTTCTCGTGGTTCGACCTCAAACTCTCAAGAAATTTATTACTTCGCATGACTTGCACTCAGGTGATCAATTCTAAAATTATAGCAGTAAGGGACCAAAAAGAGTGAAGGGCTCCTTTTCATTTTCTTTTAGAGCAATAATTATGATGGTTAACTTCTACTATAAAGCAAGTACATCCTCGTCCTAAGCTTCCAATCACCTATGTGTAAGTAAGACCCTACCTAAACAACAAACTAATGGATTCCATCACACTATGGGCTTACATCATTCATACAGAATGTTAATCCCGCAATAGCAGGAGGAAAAAAAAAAGAAGAAAGTCAATGATGGGCAAACGTACTTGAAAGTGAGCCGATTATTGTGGGAGAAGGGAGGAATTGCTTATGGAGCATGCTTTACCAAGCAGAGGTGCATAAATTGCTGGGCGTTAAGGAAACAGTATCCAATAAATGAGCTAAAAGGCAACAACGGGCATGGAGCATACCATGTTTTATGCAGGCTTTGTGGTGAGCATATACATAGGACGTAACAAACACTATCACAGGCATGGAACATGCATAAGACATAGTTAATGCCAGATTTCAATTGACGAAGGGTTTACTTACAACAAAGAGAGTAGAGGATCAGGATCCTGAATTATTTACTCAGTTGATTACAGGTTCATCAGTTCCTCCATTACATGCACAGGTAATAATACTAAGAAAATTACCTTGCACAGAACATGCAGTGTCACACAAACAGTTTATCTTAATCGAGGGCACTCAAATAGGAGACATTTTTAACAAATTAAACCTTGTCACTATGTCAATCAGGAGTAAAGAAGATGGCACTTACAAAAATGGACAGTGCTTTTAAGAATGCACGAGCTAGTGCCACCTGCTGCTTCTCACCACCACTTAGCTGCCAGGAAGAAAATGTGATAATGCAAGGAAAATCAGCTGAGATAATGCAGAGGGAGATTCTAGTATACTGATCAACCATGGTAATTTTCACCTAATATGACCTATCTACACATCTCTTCAGGTAGTAAACATTAGAGCAATAAGAAAAAAAAATTCCAGCAATAAGATTGAGCTAGAAGTGCAAAACTGAAAACGCTGATACCAGAACCCGGGCTCCAAGGAAAAATGAAAAATGAAAAATAAATTCTAGCAATAAGATTGAGCCAAAATGAACAAAACTGAAAACACTGATATCAAGGCAGACTCGGCAAACTCAAAGCCGTACCCACCCTATCCTTAAAACAAGGTGCTAGATGAGGCTTTCTTCAGTCTAATCTTGCCCCCCCCCCAATAAACATGAGACAAAAGTATGACTTTTCCAAAAATCAGTTAGCTTCTTACCTTAAGCCCTCGTTCCCCTACCGCCGTAGAATATTTGTCTGGGAAGTTCATAACGGTGTTGTGAATTGCTGCCCTTCTAGCGGCATCATAAACCTAGTAAAAGAAGTTATTCGGAAGCATGACGAAAGTTAACATGGTGCATGGTTTTCTGAGCATAGAAGCATATGCACCTCCTCTTCCATTGCCGAAAGACGACCATAATGAATGTAGTGAAATATTGTATCATTAAACAGTACCTGCCCAAAATGCAGCTGACTTTATCATGTGTGTGACTTTTTTATGAGAACTTATGAATACTAAGAAAATAGGAAAAGTCGTAGCACAGATATTTTGTTGCAACTGCCAACTCACTGTATCCTGTGGAACCACACCAATAGGCTTCCGAAGACTCTCAAGTGTCACCTTCCGTATATCTTGACCATCTATCCGAATCTGTCAAGTAGCAAATTTTTGGTAGCACTTAGGGAAAGAGGAAAACCAAAAAGCAATCAAAATTTAGACACAATCATTATTATTAGTTGTATCAGATATCAGACAGTTCAATTACATCAACCTCCACAAAAATTACAAGCCGGCAAAATGTGAGGATACACAATTTATAATGCTTGAGCTAAAACCGCACAAACAAGTGTGTAAGCTTCATGTGTATGCTGCCACCTTGTCGGCACCAATATACTCCAAGAGATGAAATTTGAAATCCAAAGTAAAATGTTAGAATTGACAACAAGCCCTACATGGCACATATACACATAGATCAAAGACTGCTGCTTCATGGCTAGATGTGTGTCAGCATTCCCCCTTGAAAAGGACAGGGGTGTTTTCTTTTGCTTTTATTATTTTTCCATTTTTCCCTTAAAAAATAGTTTCCATTTACATGTGAAAAGAGCAATTATTACTCATCTTTGTATTCCAGATCCACATTTGTAGTTGTATCAGAATCCTGGGCCTAGTGCATGCAAACTAAGATAACAGAAAATAAATCAAGAACTAACCACAGGACTTGGCCAGTTAGAAATGGCCATAATGATAGCCAAAAGACAAAGGTGTATAAGAGAAGCATCTCTTCTTACATGTCCAGAATCGGTGTCAAAAAACCTGAAGAGCAATCTAAGAATGGTTGATTTCCCTGCACATCAATGGAAACATGTACATCAATGACTTGTGAACATGGGCATAACAAAAAGTAAAGTGGAGACAATAAAGAAAAATAAATTGAGAACCTTAATGTAGGGAACCGGACAATACAAGGAATCTTCAATTTTCTAAGTACAGAAAAAGATCGAGAGTCCCAGCTCTCGTAGTAGTGCTACTGCCTCTGCACAATGTCTACATGAAAGATTATAGTTACAAATCGTTGATTCCTTGCATAAGCTCTCAACCTCCATCAATCCAACATGATTTCAATTGAAAAATCTGGAAGAAGAGCACGCAATTCCGCACACTCCAGATTTAAGCATGTTCAACAAACCTTTTGACTTACATGTACCAATCAACATACTTCTTGAAAGATATAAAACCACCTTGAAATAATGGTTTCTCCCAAATCTATTGGTAGTCCCAAAATAAAATACTTCTCCATTGCCAACTATCCGCCTCATGTCATGCCATCCCTAGATATTTATTTGTTTGATTAATTACACTAGAGGTCCTCCCAACGATGCACTCTATGTCATTTTGGTCCCTATCTATCTATCTTCCACCCACCATAATCACAACCCCTCCAGCACCAACTCTACCACCTCACACCCATTATTGCTCGAGCATAACACATAATATGCTCATAAATTTATATTAGCAGGGAAGGCGAAAGTTCTCAACTGCTCATGGAATCCTCATAATGGAAAAACCAAATCTGTCTGCCATCATTCCACCAGCCTCTTTGGTCATTGGTTTTGCAGCAACAACGCTGCAAATGCTTTACCTAAGATAGAAGTACAATCCTTCTTCCACATCTCTCATTTTGAAGCGTAACAAATGTTTCCAGTGCACAATGGAAGGTCCTCATTCTTCATACTCGCACATCTGCTGAAGCATGAGCACACATACACACACGACTCACAAACATACAATCCAAATTCAACCCAATTCATGAAATTTGAATCTATTAGCCATGGATTATGATTGTTGGGGATTTTTTTGGATTTGTGTTTCATTGATGAACCGGCAGTGCAGGGTGGCAAATATGTCTGGACTTCAATTGGCAGTTGAATTTTGAAAAGGGTTTCGAGATTTGTAGAGGTAATTTTTGGTCATCCCTGTCATTGCTTTTCCGATAAGTCTTCCCCGCCATTTTGCTTCTGGTCATTTGCATAGTTAGGTGGGTTTGGCATGAAATGAGTTAGAGAAAATGGTGGGGCTGAAGATGCAATGGTGAGTTAAGGAACATGCAGTGCATGGTAAGCAATGCACTTGGCCCTTCATGTGTTGAATGATTTCATTAGAGTTGGGTTTCACCTCAGTTTAGGTTGCCATGGTAGTAGTTGTGATGGGCAGGGTGCAACACAGTGAGAGAGGGGGGTTTGCAAATTGGGTTTGGAAAGGGAAGAGGGAGCAAGGGGTGCTGGAGCAAGGGGAGAGTGGAGGAGATCTTGCAGCTTGGGTTGGGAAGCAAAGAGGACCTGGACAGGTGAGGAGAAGGGTTGGTAGAGTGGGTTTGAGTTTTTTGTTGACGGGTCAATGTAAATTTTCCAATAAATAAACTTTCTAGGATTATGTTAAGTTAAGCACTGTCAGCTTGAAGGACCACATAATCACACATTCAATACTTTAGGGATCAAAATAACATTCAGCGCATACTTTGGGGGACCTCCGACAGAGTTAACCCTTATTTGTTACACTATATCTTCTCCATACCAAAATGAGGTTGGCTTAGTGTTTTTTTTTTTGTTTTTTTAGGGTGTGGGGGATGCACTACCAAAAATAACTTCTCTTCAAAGTTTTTCTTTCTTATTATTTTTACTTATAAATCGTAATCGTAGTGTGTATAAACTTCAACAAATCATCAACCCCTTCCTTTTTCTAGTGAACAAACATGGTCCAGACAAAACCTCAGTGTTCTCCGAGTTATCCATAGCTGACTTTGGAATTAAGCAAGAACTTCATTTCATACAGGCTAATGAAAGAGAAGAGAAACACATATCATCTCACCATGGAGAAAAATAAAACATGAGCCATTAACATTTGAGAAGTTTGCATCAAAAAGCACTTTAGATTCAAAACAGAGAACAAGTGGGGTAAAACAATTAGAACGCATCTGATGCCTTACCACTACCACCGGTTCCAACAATAGCCACACTTTTTCCAGCTGGAATTAAAAGAGACATCCCATCAAGAATCTTTCTTTCTCGTATATAGCTAAGGAAAGTGGAACAAAGAATATGCATTAGCAAGTGAAAATCCACAGCGCCATCCAAAACAGTACCATAAACAAATTACATGCAGACATACAATTCAATACACATTGTACCACCTCAAGATAGACATAACATCCATCACCCAATCATGTAAAGGCCGGACTAAGGCCTGAAACAGAGGATTTGCAATGGCAAAGATCCTCATTCGAAGTCAAAGAATTTGATTTGCTCATGAGGGGTTACGTTAGACTAGTTATAGGGGGGGGTCATCCCCTTGACTAGTACTGATGAGAATTTTACTCCACGAGAAATTGAGCAAAAAGCTGCTGAATTTATACATAAAGACAGAACAAGCCATACATGTGCATAAGTATGAGGACATATTGAGGAAAAAGTCATAATTCAGCATCCATCATATCCATGAAATTTTCAATGCCATGCAAACCAAAATTTATATTATATCCCAAATATAGAGAGTAGACACTGACATAGCAATGCTTCTTTCAAATTCTTCTTATTCAGATTTTCAAAATACTCATCAAGGACATAAGAGAACCAGTAAAGTATTGCCAATCAGAAAATTGTTGTTCAACTATTCCATTAGCACTAAATCAGAATATACTGGCAAATCCTGATAAAGTATGGTCCTGGCTCCAGAATAAACTGGCAAACCATGTGGGTCTAGAAATCATCAATCAAAAGTTTTTCTGAAGGAAAGATCCAGCAAGTATATCTTTTGTAATCACAAAGTTACAAAGATAACGTGATTTCGACAACCGAATTTGAAGTATAATGCCAAAATAAAAGAGATAAACAATCAACTATTTAAATTCAAAAAGTTCGATATACAATGAAGAAAAGGCAGTGAAGGCTGGAAAGTACACATAACACAAGGGAAACTGCTACAAAAACCATATATGACATGCTTACAAGTTGGAGAACTATAAGTCTATAAATGATGATACATGTAGAAGGTCGAAGCAAGCAGGACAATACAAACTTTTCTTCCATCCCATGCTCTAGATTTTACCTCTGTCTTGGTTTGGGAAAGGGAGAGGGGGTAGCAGGAGGAAGGGAGAACTCTCTCAAAGAGCAGTGATCAGAGGCATGAAATGGCCTAGGGGAGCCACTGTCCCCCCAAGTTTTCCAAAGTATGCTTTAATACCTCAAAAATTATGTTTTTTGATCTCTCTCTACATGGCATTCTCAAGTTCTTGAAATTATATCTTATACCTTCAATATGTTATTGATTTTCTTTTATCCCTTGACTATTGATTTGGACACAGTGCACGATCAACCAAGGATCAAAATTTCTTTTTTTTTCACTGAAATGTTTTTGTTTTCATGTACACCAAAACAAATCAAAGATTGAATATCGAAATCAAAACGACCAATATATCAAAAATAAATTTTCATTTGTGTGAGTTTTTAGATCAAAGCATCATCATAGTTGTCAATAATCATTAATTTTTTTTGTAGACAATTTGTACCTAATATATAATTTAAATAATTACTCTCATTTTCTCAATTCCTCTTTTTTAAAACTTTTATACATCTTTTGTTTTTATTATTATATATGAAGTACAACATTAATATTTACAGTAATAGGAATTATATGTTCTCAAATTTTAAACTTTGTTAATCACATTTCAACACATGTTTATTGTTTAGTAGTAGACACGTTCTAAAGAAATATTGGACACCCCACCAAAGAAGTGTCGGACACATGTCCAAAATTAAATTTTTTTCATTAATTATAGACACAGTTAAAAGAGTATCGGACATGTATCCGATAGTGTCCGCAGAGTGTTGGTGTCCGATGTCCGTGCTTTATAGACTACAACTCATCTAATTATCCTTCATTGTATAAAATTTTTCCACTAATTGGCCCTCCTCCTCGAGAAAAACTCTTGCCTTTGTCACTGCATGAGAGTGAAGCTTTTTACAATGTATAGAACTTTAGGGTTTGCATAGAATAACCAGAGTATTTTACGAAATCCAAATTAATGTATAGATAAAAGACCATACACTGGCGTTCCTAGCACCATGTCCATGTGCTACTTGCTGAATATGATAAAACACACATGCATTGATATACTGTTGAAACACAAGATGCCACCCCCTACCATGTAGAAGGACAAAAACTAAGAGATAAAGATGCACCTGAAGTGAACATTGTCAAATTGAATGCTGCCCCCATCCAATTTCAAAGGTTTCGCATCATCATCATCTCTAATTTCAGCGCTCTCCTGTAGATCAATTGGAAGTCAACAATTATAACGCCATGATAACAAAACAATTACAAGGTGGAAATTCTAGAGTGCTACTAATTTTATAACATGCGACACTGATAAGAGAAACTAGACACACACTTGCACTTACTATTTCTCTATCTAAAAACAAGACTGTCCCCACATCCATCTCATTTCTGCTACATGACTTGTGAAATTCAAGTTGAAGCCTCTCTTCTCACACGAGAAACTCCATAACTTAGTGATCGAAGTACAAAAATAATCCTTTCTAGGGTTGTGGGCAACTCAACCACCAAACACTTTTGACAGATGACGTACAAGCCTAGCTCAATGAAAGCCATAATGCTATCAAAATGGATGAGAAACCACACAAAATTAAACAAGAATGGAAAAAAAAAAAAAAGTTGCTCACAAGGATCAATGATTTGGTACTAGAGTATTAGTCCCTCCACTTCCGATGATTGATATATAGTCCCCCTCCGCTTCCGATGGTTGATGTATGACTAGTATATCATAGCTGCCATTGAATTTGATGTGCATGATAACCATTATATATTTGAAGGATAAAGCATTGGCGTCTGCAGGACTGAGAGGTCTATTCTTTTCTCTGTCAAGTTGATTTTGCCGTCTGCAGATGCTGCAACCTACTGTTCACAGTTCCATCACAATTGATTATTTGCTCCAATTTTACCAGACAACTACTGCAACAGGACCATTTGATCCACCATGGGCTTAATTACGGTTAAAATGATTGCCCTAAGCTGAGAGGCACTAGAAAGGTCATCTATTCAGTCATTATATCCCGCTTTGGTAATCATCCATTGTATCCTGCTTTGGCAATCTAAGCTTGTATTCCATTGCCTGCATGCTACTGTGCTTAACAAACTTAAAGACTTAAAAAGTCTTCAAGTTTTGACGGTAGAGCTTGAACGCAACTAAACGTGCTAGGAAATTCAGGTCAGGCTACATAAACAGACTCACATTTTTACTATAGGCTTGCTTATGTGAATTGGGTTGGACTTGAGGGGTTTAGCAAGGCAAAACAAACGTCCTAGTTTGTACTCAACGTGGCTTCCAAGCCCAAACCACAGCAAGTATATTACCAAACAATGGATTGACTGCAAAATAATCAAACTCAAATTGGATTTATAGAATCAAAAACTGCAAGGGTTCAGCAGATACCTCAAGTACCAAAACATGGATTTCATGCCAATAAGACTTTGTACAGTCTCCCGATATACACTGCCAAGGAAGTTGAGAGGAAGAGACAGCTGGAATAGGAGCCCATTTACCATCACCTGTGTCACAATTAATTTTTATGACCAATTCTCAATCTTTCTGAATGCAAGAAAGCTAAACAAGTGAGCTCATAACCATTCTACCAAATCACCAACTGTCATCTTGTCATCCATAATCCCATGTGAGCACAGCACCATAGCTACTGACAGAGCCATGCTAAATATTACATTTTGCCCAAAGTTCAAAAATGCAAGACTTTGTTGTGTTTTCAAGGCAGCATCTTCATATCCTGAAAGATAACATCGTCATCATGAATCTATTGGACTTACCTATTCAAATACAAAGGAAAAAAGTCAATGAAATAACACAGTTTCTAAACTCCTAGGATGACAGAAAACAAATGCAGATACACCGTCCATCGAAAATCATTACTGCATTGGTCATATCCAGTTGTTTAGAAGATAGGACCCACTCAAGTTGTGGACATCTGAAAGTGTCAAGAGTCAACGCATGGGTCTGTGTCTATACATTAGCAATAACGTCCCTAACCACTAGCAAATATCAATTGAATCTATGTTTTTCACCCGACAACAATAGCAAATTAAATCCCAGCACCCAACTACATCAGCTTGAAGATGTGATTCCCATTTTCCCTTCACCTCTACAATCAGTCACATGCCACTGAACTACACTACATAACAGAAGGGCTTCTGTGAAGTACAAGCAACTTACTCTTCAAAAATTCATCGTATTTCACAACTTCAAATGCCTCATTGTTGAAATACATCCAGTTGGAAAATATAACACCAAATGTGAAAAATTACCAACTTATACAGAGAATGAAGATGAAACATAGGACAGTACTATAACATCAAAAGAAAGACACTCTTTATCCATATTTTTTTTCTTTTGATAAGCTACATCAAAAGAAAGATATTCAAGAATGTCACATCACAAACTCACCTCATAATTAATAAGTGAATCAATTGCCCTTGTACTTGCATCGTTATCAGCTTTGTTCATTGCCTTCCTAAACTTAGTCCTCCACTAAGAATAGATAAAATGGAAGGGAAACCTTAAGAAGAAAGGTAATCACCATTGAGAAAGGGAAATAGAAAACATACAACATCCCCCAGCCCGTGCATTGTGATATGCGTTCTTGCACGAAGCACACAGGCCGGATGGGAGAAAGGGCGAGATATGAGGAGAAAAGATAAAAGTAGAAACCTGGACAGCAGAAACAGCAAATATTTAGGAGAAAGAGTAATTTCAATACAAACAAGGAAGAAAAGGGATGGGAGAAAAGACGATGTAAGAGATGCGAAGTAGAGACTACATAATGTTACGAAAACAAATCTAACTGATTTGCTCTCTCTGCCTCCCTTTTTCTCTCTATGATATTATGGGAGTTGCCAGAAATGGCAAGGCAAGTTGGGAAAGAAGCATAATACAAATACATTTAAAAAGAATATGTACCTGTGTCACAAACAACGTGAATGCCACATAAGCAACAACTGACGAGGAAGTGATCCATGCAAAAGGGGCTCCATAATTGTATGCTAGAATAGCTGATACCATGGATATCTGAAATGATACATGTTAAATACGCCAAAGTTGCATTCGGAGTTGGAGAAATGAAAGCAAGGGAATGACGACAAAATTGAAACCATTCTGCTCTCTAAATAACAGAGAGCATCTCTAAGATTGTTGGTACAACATTGAACACCATAGATGAAAGAATAAAATTAATAGCACGGCTACCACTGAACACCATAATGATCCGACTCAATGCACCTGTTTATCGACTGCAAAAAAGAAAAAAAAAATTATAACAAACAACTAAGATGAGAACAAACATGTAGTTGAACCGTTCAAATAGATACAAGACTGTAGAGTGGGATCCTGGCTGAAATCTCAAGCATTGTCCAGGATGTGTGTCGTCATTTGGAACAGAACAAGTGTGCTACACAGTATTGACAGTAATGTAGGAAGTGAAGACCTGATGTTATTTTGCTGAGAAGTGTCAGATTGTATTTTCATAAAAGATGTGTAATCTAACCAAATGATATGTTGAAATAAAATTGCCTCATATGATGTGGTAAGTGCATCAACCCTAATGACGAACATACTACAGAAAAGGATCCCAATTAATACCAACTGTCTCTATCTTGTTCTAATATGTAAAACTATTGCAATAATCACACATATAACTGCTATAGACTTATCTTTATCCATTGCACTGCTACTTCAACAATATCAGCTTATCAAATCTTTTCTACCCTTCTGAACTGTATTTGAAGTCGGAGAGTAATCATTCCATAGAATAGAGTTTGAAAATGGGTATATAACGGAAGTGACCAGTTAGGCAACTCGAAAGGGAAAACAAAAACAAAAAAGTTCCTAAAGAGTACAGAACGTGGCTGCTCCATACCACAAGCACAATAAGCACAGGATTCCTAGCTGTGGTCAGTATTAATAATAACAATCAGACCAACAAAATTTGAATTCAGCTGAACAAAAAGTTCTCCGGGCAGTACCTAAGATGATACTGTAAGTCGAGCTCAAGCAAATGTGAAAATACCTGCAAAAGTTGGTGTCTGTTATAACTGTCACAAATCACAGGCAACTGGAATACCAATCAGCCAAAAGACATACAATGATCACCAATATAAAAAGAAAAAGTATTCACATTTCCGATATTTAACTGTTATAAGGTAAGAATTTCATCACAACATGTTAGATCTTCAGCATAATCTGGTCACCATAGGTCATGTTAGCCAACATCAGTCAATTTGACAACGCAAATTTAAGTTTTTTCTCAATTATTGATGCTCCTTAACCATAGATGTGATCTTTATTCCCGATCATTATTATTATCCAACTTACAGTTGTATTGAGTACTAAGACGTCAGCCGATTTGCAAATAAAGGGGCAGTTCCTGAGCATGCACAAAATACACAAAGGGCATTCACCAACACAGTATGAGAATCTACAAGTCATGCATGATGGCACCTCCTACAAAAGACCAGGAGAGGAATTTCCTCAGGAGGAGCTGACCATAGAAAGCAAGCCAAAATACAAATGAAGGCAGCATGCTAACGCACATGAAGAAGACAAGTGTGCTATTTTCCCAAGTGATGTATGAACCTCCCAGTCTGCCTATTATAATGCATTTTACCCTCTTAATATCCTCATAAGCAACTTAAATCAAGAAAATGATAGCTATGACCATGTCTGCCCATAGGTTCGTTCACTCTCCTGGTAATGTTCTGTATTTAGATATATACGGATTCCTATTCGTGTATGTTTCTTTCATTCTTTGTATAATTTTTTAAAGCACCTGTATCTTCAGCAAATAAAAACCAGCTGAACAACAGTTCTCTAGGGCCAAAAAAATTTACTCCGTCACCTTGCACCTCTACTTATTTTGCATGAAGGATGAATATTGATGGAACATAACCCTATTAGTACTTTGCAGTCACAGAGGTCTCAGTAAATCAATGGGTTCAATACAGATTGTGAAGCATACCAATATATCCCCCAACCCCAGAGCATTAACAAAATTAATTAAAGAAGGGGAGAGCAGGGGAAGAAAACATGAAATCTATTAAAAAAAAGTGCTCTGATGGGTCCTCACTCCTCAATCAGTGATGACATATAAAGTGAAGATACATATCTCATATACCTTCCTCGAAACTGATCGAATTGTTCGCAGTGCAACCTTAGAAAACACTGTAGTTCGCAACTCTGAAACAAAAGATCCGCAAGAAACTATATGAATTAAAATGGAGATTTTAACATCCCACATCTCAAAGTGTCATAGATAGGAAAAGTACATTAATAAAGATCCAAGTACAAGAACATGACAAAGATCTCCAACTTCTAAAACAGAAGAAAGAAAAAAGAATAGGGATACATATATATGGAATCAGGACAGCATTAGAAATTACTTCATAGTGACATACCGTTGAAAGCAGAAGCCCATGACCGTGCTATACCATATCCAATCAAAACGGCTCCTGGGCTCACAAACAAGAGCTAAAACAGTCGAATTAGCAGAAGTGAAGTCAGCAAGAGCACTGGCGTTTCCTGTTACCGTGTTTAGCCAATCAACAGCAAGCTTAAATAAGAAAGGCACCTGAACATTCAGTACCTAAACAACAACAGCACAACCACTTATTCCGTAATCAACAATGAATACCATTTATTCACTGCCGTTGCATGCACATACGAACAATATTATCGATCCGCTCACCGTGGCAGCAACCAAGAAACCCAAAGGCAGCGATCACCCGCAAACGGAATTCAAGATTATCTTTCATCCATAAGTATTTTGCAAGAGTACTAACAATTTTGGTGCTTGGAATTCCCTCTTCTGAAACGACCCCTTTCACGACCGTCGTAGACTTCACTTGTTTCGCATCCTGTATTGCACCCATTACATCTCCCCCAGTTGATGTCGAAAACATTGCAAGCCCCTTTGGTATCGGACCCTGTTCATCAAATCTTTCAAAGAAATTCACAAAAACATAATGTACTCCCATACTTGTACAAACATCGTCAGACATAAAAAACACAAACAAATGGCATGCATTCAAAGCAAAGAATCCTTGACTTACAAGATGTTGGGGAGGCCTGGTCGGGGAATCTGAGAGAAAGGCATTGATGTGTTATGAAGATATGGGACGGTTCTTGAAGATTCCCATGGTTTATGCTTGGTGGAGAGTTGCCTAGTGAATATACGACGAGATTGGCATGACACGAATGTTTGAGAACAAAAAGGGCGAGAGGGAATAATGATGGGATTGTGACGAAACGACATGCGACAGGAATTCACAATCACCGTCTCTGCTCTGTCGAAGAAGAGCCCCCGAGCCCTAAAACAACTTGAAGCAATTCGCGCTTGCATTAGTTTCTTTTCTTTTTGTAAGCGACTGGACCAACTGACTTGTTCAACACGTTAAACTTGATATGAGAGAGGAGAGAAACAAAAAAAAGAAAGAAAGAAAGAAAGCCTAGGCTTGAAGGTAAAGCCCAAGATTATCAAGCTTTTTCAATACATTGAAGGTTGATATGAGAAGGAAGACAAGAACAAACCCTAGGTGGAAAGGTATAGCCCAAGACTATCTAGCTTTTACTCCGACAACTGTTCGTGGCATAGCTCCAGCCTCCGTTGGAATTCGAGGCGTCGCTGTTCGGAGATGGAGATGGAGAAGTAGAGCGGAGGAGCTACGGAGGCTTGGGTGGCCTTGATTTCTGATGCGTTCATGTAGACTCTGCCGCGCGAGAAATTACTGGCGGACACCGACTCTTTTCCGAAGTACCGATTAGGAAATAATCTTTCTTTTCTTGTATTGAACATTATTAATTTAGTGACCGTTGGAGTCGGTTTGGATATTGAAAGGGTGGATTAAGTTAGTCTAATATGCTCCTTGCTTTCAAAAAAAAAAAAAAATCAATCTAATTCATTAATATTTTTATCAAAAAAATTGTACGTATTCTTATACATAAAATTATAAAATTCTAAGCTCTAATTTTATCTGAACTATAACTCTGATCTATTTATTTAGTTTTATTTTTTTTTGTTGATCATGTTATTATTTGATGTTATTATTTTTTTGTAAGCGTGTTAATGTTTGATGTTATTATTTTTTTTGTTGAACGTGTTACTGTTATATATATATATATATTGGTAGTAACATAATTTTAATACTAACACAATTTTCAAGATATGAATCGTTAATACTAATACAATTTCTAATTTAAGAGTTATTTGTTTTTTCAAATAAGTTTTGACTAAATATAATTATTGAGGGTATTTTAGACAATAAAAATTAAAATATACTTATTTTCAAATAAATTTTTTAAACATACTTAAAGTCAAATAAATTTACAAAAAAAGGGCGACCTCCCTCAAGCCCATTAAGGTAAATGATGTAAATGCGATTTGTTTGCTTTTGGTCCTTTAGCTTTTAATGAGACTATCACTCGCGATGGGCCTCTTTGTTATGTCTCAGGAAACACACTCGAGATGGGCCAGGCGTAACTTCTGATTTGGACGGAGACAAATGTACCATCAGTTTTGCAAGATTACTCGGAAAGAACTTCCCTAGAAATTCCTAAAATCTACTTAGTATTTGGGTCCCCAAGCTCTTCAAGTGGGGTCACTATTGCCAATGGAGGAACCAATGGAGGAACAAGAAAGACAATTAAGAGCATCTCTAATAATGTTATCTAAAATAATTATTTAAAATATATTTAAATCTTATATTATATACTTTAACTAATCATTTTTTCAAATTTACTCCAACAAAGTTATCTATTTTAGCTAACCACTTCAACTAACTTTAACTAACTTTCAATAATAAAATTTAAAAAATAATAATTCAATTATACATTATACAAATTTAATTAATTATAGGCTACAAGAGAAAACCCACTTTTCGAAAATTACTACTTCTAAACCAAATTCTCTCAAATTAAATCACAAAATTCAAAATAAAATCACCTTAAAACTTCCAAGTTTGATAGAAAACTTCTGAAAGCTTCGAGTTTGATTAAACTAAATGTCATTGTCTCTCTATCAATCGCCTCATCCAAACACTAGACCAATTTGAAGTAAGTAGGGAGAAGTGGCTAGCTAGATGTAGCTAGTGAAAATAGGGTTATGAAAAATAAATAGGGGAATAACTAGTCTGTTGAAACCACATATTAGGGAGAAGCTATCTAAAATAGCTAAAAAGAGGATTTTAGCTAGCCTTTTGGAGTTACTCTAATACACTATACTAGAGTGAGTGAAATTGTTGCTGAAATGAACAAAAATGGGGTGAGTGTAGTATCTGCATTAGGAGTAAATATTGGATGTAATAGTTATGTCATGTCTAGTGTAACTATCTAATAAAAAAAAAGATTTTTTGAGTGTAGGTATATTTTTTTAAACTTATTTGAGAGAAAGTGTATGAAAAAATATATTACTCTATTAAGTTCAATTTTAGTAAAATATTTTATAATTAGTTACAAAATTAAAATGACATTTAAAATTTTTTACTTACTTACCCTTCCTTAAATTATGCATAATTATTAATCTTTCACTCTCTCTCCATTACTCTCTCTATCTCTCCCCTATTTTTTTTTTCTCTCTCTCCCATTGATAATTTATTTTTTCTTTTCAAATATGTAAATATTTTATTTAATTTGTTCATCTCTCTCTCCCCCATTTTTTCTCTCTCTCATACTCTTCCCTTATTTCCTTTCTCCGTTAATCTCTTCTTATTTTCTCTTTATATCAACATTATACCAATTAGTTACAATTGTCCTATAATACATCAAACAATTATTCATGTTTTCTGATAAATTAAACAGTTATACCAAATAATTACACAAAATTATGACACTAGCCCAATATGTCATTTAGTTGTTTACATAAATAAAAGAGTTAAACCATTTAATATCATGACATGATTACACCAATTATATACACTAAATTTAGCTTAATGGTAAATTTTTCGTGTAATGATAAACTCAATTTGGTGTATATAATTGGTGTAACCATGTCGTGATAAATTGTACAATTTTTTTGTTTATGTAAACAATTGAATTGGGTTCATATTGTAATTTCGTATAATTATTTGGTATAATTATTTGTTTTATTAGAATACATAAGTAATTGTTTTGTGTATTATAGGGTAATTATAACTAATTAATATAACTGATTGATGTAATTGTGTTGTTGTAATGTTAATATAAGGAGAGAGAGAAAGAGTAACGGTGAGAAAAAATAAGGAGAGAGAGTAAGAGTGAGAGAGACAAAAGACAAGCGAGAGATGAAAAAATCAAATCTTTATATATTTGAAAAAAAAAATATAAATCGGGGAGAGAGAAAGAGGGAAAATAGGGGATATATAGAGAGAGTAATGAAGAGAGATAGAAAGAAAATAGGGAAGAGTGTGATAGAGAGAGGGAGAGAGTAATAAAGTAATAAATCGTCTTTTAGTTTTTTTTTCAAAAAATGCGGGCCAAATAAATTTTCTTAGTGTAGTTTAGTTCAATTAAGTTCAAATTTTTATACCTACTATCAAATTTTCCTAAAAAAATTATAAAATAGATAAAATGAGGCCCACTTTTTATAATGGATGTGATAATGTATTACATGACTAAGTGTTTATGAATTTTAGTAAGAATCACTTACAAATTTATTTATTAGTAAACGATTAAATCACGTGACACTCTTGATGTGGTGGCATTAGAGGATAGAAAAAAAAAGTATCAATGTTGGAAAGACATCATTTTGTATAGGAATTTTTATTTTCATTTTCTTTTTGAAGATGATGGATTTCTTCAACAGAAGATCTCATTTTACCTAATTTATGTAGAATTAATCCCAAATAATTACATTCAATCACTACTATAGGTATTGCTTAAGCTAGAGAGTGATTAATAAAACTGGAACTAGGACTTTCAATTTTTGACACGACACGTTAACATGACACGAACCGAACACGAAATAAATGGGTCGAACACGAAATTAAATTGGTTAATGGATAAAAACGGGTTAACACATATAAACAAAAAAAAAAAAAAAAACAGGTTGGGTTCATGTCGAAATCAGGTCAACCCGATTTTGATCTGATTAACCTGTATATTTTAAATAGGTTAATATAATATGACCCGAACCCGACCTACCCATTTCTTACCCGTTTAACCCATTTATCCAAATATATAAAAGCAACAATAAAAAACTTAACCCTAACCCACTCCCACTTTTCCCCTTTTTTCCCTTTTTCACTCTCAGCCGCTGTTGTTCGCTTTGTCTAGAGGAGTAGAGGAGGGCTCCTCGTCGTTCATGCCTTCACCGTTGCTCAATCGAAAAGGTTTGTCCCTCTCTCTCTCTATGTCGTTGTGTTCTCTCTTTCCCTTTTCGCGTTGCGACTCAATCGAAGTGTAGAATAGTCAGATTCGATCACAGCACACACCACTCATACATTCCTTGGCTGTGTAGTATTTCCCCCTAACTCATTTTTCTTTATTTAACGCTACAAGTTGTATTGGAAGTTTATGTAATTTTTTTTGCATTTTGACCAAAAATGTACTGCTTTGTACGTGTGTTATATATTTTGCTTACATATTTTTTTTTTTTTTGGCATTTGTGTTGGGAACAAATGAATTCACTTTCATTGAATGACGAACACATTGATGGACCTACCCCTGTTGCTGATGATGTTGTCATGGCTGAAACAAACCATGTTTCTGATATTCAAGATAGGCTAGAACTGGATGGTGTTGATAAACCAACAAATAAACGTCAACGAAGGTTCACCTCACAAGTATGGAGAAACTATACTTTTCTTAAAGAACCAAGTCCAGAAGGATTGCTGAGATGCGAATATAAGAAATGTAAGCAAGTTTATAATGCTGATAGTAAGCATGGCACTAAGAATTTCAAGCGACACACTGCAACTTGTTTGAAGCGAACCACCTATGATATTGGTCAACTACTTATAACCCAATCTAATGGTGCTTTGGGATCTAGGTCTTATAAATTTGACGCAGGGAAGTTTAAAGAGATTTGTGCAATTGTTAGACATGAACTTCCATTTCAATTTGTTGTGTATGGTGGCATTAGAAGTCTTTTCACCTACTTATGTCCCCAAATCATACAAATTTGTAGGAATACTGCTAGGGTGGAAGTTATGAAAATGTACGTTATAGTGAGAGGGAGGATTTCTCAAGAACTGCAAGACTTGCCTGGTAGAATTTGTTTGACTTCTAACTTGTGAACTTCTATTATTATTGACGGTTACTTGAGTCTCACTGCACACTACATTGATAGGTGTTGAAAAAGAGAATTCTGAATTTCTCTTACATGCCTCCTACCCATACTGGAGTTGCTTTGTGTAAGAAGATTTATAA